CAATAATTTAAGCTTGTGGCTTCTACCTAGTAAACTTAGTACCTTTCCATATATGAAATAAGAATATGTCAGCTAGAATAACTTGTTTAAAGGTAACAAACCTTTGACTATATTTTAGATTTTTATTTGTTTTTGTTTTTTGTTTTTTGTTTTTTTGAGACAGGGTCTCACTATGTAGTTGAGACTGACCTGGAACTCACTATGTAGCCCAGGCTGCTCTTGAACTCAAAGCAATCCTCCTGCCTCAGCCTCCCGAGTGCTGGGATTACAGGCGTGTGCTACCACACCTGGCTCTTTTGACTATATTTTAGAAATAAAGGTAGTACTGATAATTTCTTAGCATTTCAGTTATTTTTAGCTAGAAGAGGGAGGATTTAAGCTCAGGTTTGTTATGCTTATTTCCTTAACTCTAAAATTCATTTTGTAGACCTCTTTTTCCAAATTAGGTGATGCTTCTGGTATTTAATTAATGAAGTTCTTTATGATAACTGACTTCAAACAACCTGTATTTATTTAGTGCAGTTTCCTTGACTTCTAAAGAGCTTGGATAATCAATAAGAAAAAAAACACCTATTTGAATTGCTAAGTAATTCTACAACCTTCCCTCCTTCCCCAGACTTCTCATGAATCACAGTTACTAAATATGCACACACACCTTAGGAGATAGCTGTGGCTTTCCAAAAGCTTGGGAGACCCGCTGTGCTATACAGAAAGCCTTATGGTCTTGAGTAAGTCACCTAACCAAACCAGTTTCTTCATTTGTAAAAGGGAGAGATTAATGCGAGGTGACTTAGTCATCCATTCTGTGCCACATCTAGATGTCCACTCTTCAAACTGGCTAACAGATTATGCCAAGCAAAGAGCAGAAGTTTTCATGTTAAAGACAGCATCAATTTGTAAAATTTATATATAGATAGATAGATAGATCCCTAATCCTATAAAGCAGTGTTCACTAAATTTGAGTAATTTGCAGATCTGCCCCCTCTTTTCTTCAGATAAATTTTAAAGGAAAATATCAATTATTTCAGCCTTTAAAGAGTGTGTTCCTTAACACTGTTTGGCCACACACTTAAATACACAGGGGATACCTAACTTAGCAGATTTCCACAGTGACGTATACAAGTAGTTCCCCAAGCTCCAGTGATCAGCCCAACCTAAAATGTTTAATTAAACACCCAGAATAGGGCCAGGAATTTAGCTCAGTGGCACTGCATCTAATTTGCAAGCTTAAGATCCTGAGTTTAATCCCCAGTACCAAAAATATAAACAAACAAACAAACAAACCCAAAATAGGGCCAGGGATTTAGCTCAGTGGCACCGCACCTGCCTCACAAGCTCAATGTCCTGAGTTCGTTCTTGGTACCAAAAAAAAAAAAAAAAAAA